TACGTGTTGAATGGGACGCGAGCAGATAAGACCCAACAGTCTTAATGATTATGGTTGCTGCTGTTGTCGTCGTCTTTGCCCGCGACCCACCCCGCGACACGCCCCGCGCCCCTCCCGCGACCCACCCACATTGCTCTGAGAAAATTCGGCGCTTGCGGCCGGCTCGTTGTGCAATGTGTGTCAGAAATCGGCGCCTGCGGCGGGCTTCTTCAAAGCCTCGCAGGCTGCCGACGACCCCGCCGCCCCTTCATTCTTATCCGCAACTGCAGAGTGCTGCGTATGACTTCGTCATCGCCCCCATGCCCATTCCTTGGCATCGGTCGGTCGTGTGCATTCCTTCTCGGCGAGCACCATCGATTAGTATCCTGGATCATCTTGTGATAAATTTCGCGCGCGGAGCCGAAAACTGCACGGGGATTGGACGTCCGAGCGATGTCGAGATCCCCACTCCCTCCAGAGATCGGACAGAGAGACCTCGGGCATATACAGTCGGGGCCTTGACCTAAGGAACCCAAAATAAGGAACGAGGCTCCCTTCTTCCATACGTTAAACTTCGATTTCCGATCGAAAACATAAGGAACACCTGAGGCAAGCTGCGAAACACGTAAGGAACGCGGAGCCCCTCCCCAACGAAAAGGGTTCCTTCTTCAGGGCCCCGGCATATAGAGTTACTCCCTCCCCCTCCCCCGCGCGCAGGATTCCGGCCCGCGCCGCCCCCGCCTTGCCCGGCGCGGCCCTCCTGCGTTCCTCCCGCCGTGGCGCGCCCGGCCGCCAGAAAGTACAGACGGAGGAGGAGGAGGAGGAGAGGAGGAGGAGGAGGAGGAGGAGGAGGAGGAGGAGGAGGGAGTGGGGAGGAGGAGGAGGAGGAGGACGAGGAGGAGGAGGAGGAGGACGACGAGAAGGGATGAGGAGGAGGGAGGGGGGAGGAGGAGCAAGAAGAGAAGGCAGGAGGATCGGGAGGAGGAGGAGGAGGAGGAGGAGGAGGAGAGGAAGCAGGAGGAGCAGGAGCAGGGAGCAGGAGCAGGGAGAGGAGGCAGGGGGGGGGGTGAAGGAGGAAGAAGAGGCCCGCCACACGCGCGCGCGCCCCCCTCCAAGCATCCCCACCCTCCGCGCCTCCCCGCCCGCGGCCTCCTCGAGAGAGCGCGCGAGCGCGCCAGCGGCGGCCCCGCCCTGGGTCGTGGAGGAAGCGAAGGCGCAGGGCGCTTGTGTGGGGCGACGAGATCTATACTGCAGATTTCGTAATAAAGGGAGGGGGGTCTCATTTCGGGGGGGGGTCTCTTCCAGGCTATCTTGGAGGGCCTGGGGGGTCTGGGGAGGATGTGTTGGAGGGTTCTCCCACGGGGGAGGTCTGAAATGGCTTGTCTTGGAGGATCCAGACCCCCTCCCTTTTATTACGAAATCTGGAGTACGCATGCATCGAGTAAAGGATCTACTCTACAACATCTCATTTACCCTAGAATTGGATTTCTCATCGAAGCTACGAACACTGCACGAGGGTTCTACGCACTTTTTTCGCACACTCGGCGAGAAAGCCAAGTTGGGCCTCGGTCCATTCTGTTTTCGATCCCCTGATTGCTCGAATCCACTGCTCCTGGCCAGCCCCCAACATGGGAGCGGTTTTACGCCCGACCCCTGTGGGCCCCGGAAACGGCAGGGCCGTTTTTGCACCGTTTCCAAAAAAATGTCCATTGAAAATGGAAACGGCAAAAAAACGGCGACCGGAAACGGCAAAACAACGGTTCCAGGATTGGAACCGGAGCCGGAACCGGTCAAAAAACGGCGACAGAACGGTAAAAAAACGGCGTCGGAACCGGCAAAAAGGCGGCAAAACGGGACCGGTAAAAAAACGGCCCTGTCGTTTCCAGGGCCCATTAAGCGCCCGACGGGCTCAACCAGGGAGGCATACACACTGCTCCTGGGCCCAGGATGGTCCCGGCCGGGAGCAGTGGAGATGCATAGACCTCGTCGCTTCACCGTGCGGGCCCCGCGGGCGGGTCTGGTCTGGCCGGTCGGGCGGGGGCGAGGCCCCCTAATCTTTCTGGGGCGTGCGCGAGATTCGAGGTCGCCAGAACACGTCGGGGGCGGAAAAGAGGGGGGTGATGACTAGGGGGGGTGGATATCATGGCGTGGGCCATGATATTTCCCCAGATTTCATGACGCCTCTTCTTTTTTCATTACGTCCCTGGCCCCTGGCCCCCCCGCTGGGCCGCGCACGTGCCGCCGGTCATGATTTGCACCCCCCCCTCTTGGACACCCCCCTCTTGGCCGCTCCCGAACTCGGGTTTGCCGACATTTTTGGACGGGCCCGTTTCCGTATTCTGACGGTCCGTTTTCGTGTGATGTCTTCGGCGGGAGTTCGCGACAAGTTTCAGTTCGGGTCTCGTCATTTTCCTGACGGCCCTGTCCGGGCCAGCCCGAGGAATATGCCGACCCGACTCCTGCGTCTCCCAGAACTTTTGCTGGGGCGGTCGCCACAGCGCGCGCCGCCCTTGTGGGTATTGTTCCATATCTTCGGTGATGGTGTCCGGGCCTGTCCGGGTACGGCAGGTTCACGTCGTGTCGACCAGCGGCGACCCCGCCGCCAGCGTTCAAACTGGAACGCCGCTGGCGGCCGAGACTCGGTGACGTTGAACGATCGGACGTTTCGGAAACAGCCGATCGTTCGAGGCTGAAGGATCCCCGCGGTGTCAGAGACCAGTGCTGGGGTCGTCACGACACGAACCTGCCGTACGCCATGCGCCCAGGTCGGTGCAACCTTCCATCTTGCGCACGAGCTGGGGCGCCCTTTGGGGGCAGTTGGCACCCAGGTGGACCTGCCAGGTGAGCCCGTCGCGGCCCGCGGCCCCAAGAGCGTCTGAGCCTCGGAGACGGGGTCCCAGCAGACGGGGTCGGAGGATGCGCCAATTTGCCGAGGCATCGGCGATGCCGCGCGACGTGGAGTTCGACTGGTTCTTCACGCCGACGGCGCCGATGCATCGCCGACGCATCGGCGATGCGGCGCGATCCTCCGACGCCCCATCTGCTCCGACCCCATCCGGAAGGCTTTCAGCGAGGCCCCCTGAGCCAGCACATTGCGGACCAGGGCTTTGAGGATTCCGCCCAGAGAGGACGAAGGATGAAGCATGTCACGGCCCGCAGCCACAGTTCTCTTGGCTGCGCCAGCGTCCTGGATGTTTTGTCCTAACCATCCTGTGGTGTTGGGTCCTCGTCTTGAAAACACGGTGCCCCGCGTTCCTCCTCCTCTCCTCCACCTCCCCCTCCTCCCTTTGCCCATCACCATTATCATCATCATCATCATCATCATCATCATCATCATCATCATCATCATCATCATCATCATCATCATCATCAGCATCAGCATCAGCATCATCATCATCATCATCCATCATCATCACCACCATCACCGTCACCATCACCATCACCATCATCGATTTCGGCACCGCCCCATTTTGGCACACCCCTCACACGTTTCGTGGCCCCATAGGGAGCTCCACCTAAGGTCCCAGTGGCGGAACTCGTATGGCGGCCTCGGGCCATTTCGGCACGATCCTCACGAGGATCGTGGCCCCATAGTGAGCTCCACCTAAGGTCCCAGTGGCGGAACTCGCATGGCGGCCTCGGGCCATTTCGGCACACCCCTCACACGCTTCGTGGCCCCATAGTGAGCTCCACCTAAGGTCCCAGTGGCGGAACTCGCATGGCGGCCTCGGGCCATTTCGGCACACCCCTCACACGCTTCGTGGCCCCATAGGGAGCTCCACCTAAGGTCTCAGTGGCGGAACTCGCATGGCGGCCTCGGGCCATTTCGGCACACCCTTCACACGCTTCGTGGCCCCATAGGGATCCACCTAAGGTCCCAGTGGACTAACTCGCATGGCGGCCTCGGGCCATTTCGGCACACCCCTCACGAGGATCGTGGCCCCATATGGAGCTCCACCTAAGGTCCCAGCGGCGGAACTCGCACGGCGGCCTCAGGCCATTTCGGCACACCCCTCACGAGGATCGTGGCCCCATAGGGAGCTCCACCGAAGGCCCCAGTGGCAGGGTTCGCATGGCGGCCTCTGGCGATTTCGGCACACCCCTCACTAGGATCGTGGCCGAGCTCCACCGAAGGCGCCAGCGGCAGGGTTCGCATGGCGGCCTCGGGCCATTTCGGCACACCCCATCACGAGGATCGTGGCCCCATAGGAGCTCCACCGAAGGCCCCAGCGGCAGGGTTCGCATAGCGGCCTCGGGCCATTTCGGCACACCCCTAACAAGGATCGTGGCCCCATAGGAGCTCCACCGAAGGCGCCAGTGGTACCTTCCCCATATGGCTCTCAGAGCCCTCTCCTGCTTTTGCTCCTCGGTCAGGGGGGCGCCGTCGTTGTCGTCGTCGGCGCCCGCGAAGACGGCCGCGAACGTGTCCTTGAACATGCCGGGCTTCGGCGGGAACCCGTGGCCACATGGGGAGCGTCGGCGAAGATAGTATTCACAATTGCGGTATTCACAATCGCGTATGGTTTGGTCTTTTGCCAGGCTAAGTTGCTGTTTTGTTGTAAGTGAATACATTATAACAATAATAACAATAATGATAATAATAATGATGATGATAGTAATAATGATAATAAGAATAACACGAATAAAAATAATGAAAATATTCTTAATAAGAGTGGGATAGAGGTGCATGTGCGTGTCCCCGTTTAGGGGACCCTTGTGTCCACGGGCCGTCTTCCACATCCGAGCCTCCTCGTCCTCTTTAGCATTCCACCTTGCCGTCGGGCTGCCTCCTCCCCCTCCCTCCATCCACCCCCGCGCATGCCTCCTCCCGCCCGCCTCCCCCTACCTCGCCCCCTGCCTCATCGATCCCACATGGTTCCCTTCCCCTCCTCGCCCCATCGTCCTCCTTCTCATCCTCATTCTCCTCATCCTCCTCCTTTTCCTCTTCCTCCTCCTCCTCCTCCTCATCCTCCTACTCCCTCCCCGCCCCCTCCTCGCCTCATCTGCCCGTGGAGCTGAGGATGGCGCCCGCCCTGAACGCAGGGGGCTACTCGAGCGAGGCGCTCAGCTTCGCCCTGGCGCTGGAGAAGGAGCCACAGCGGACTCCGCCGCACAGTCTCGAGGCAAAGGAGGAGGAGGAGGAGCCGGAGCAGGAGCAAGAGCAGGAGGAGGGAGGGGGAGGAGGAGGAGGAGGAGGAGGAGGAGGAGGAGGAGGAGGAGGATGAAAAAGAGGAGGAGGAGGAGGAGGAAGAGGAGGAGGAGGAGGAGGAGGGCCTGCCTCGTCGTACTGCTCTTCCTGATGCTTCTGGCACCCCGCGAGACTGGGCGGCCAACAGACGACGTGGCCGTCCCCGGCAGTTGTGGGAAGTTGAAGCGCACACAACGGTTGAATGTTCTCGCGTTTTGCACAAGATTACTTCATTTCCTCCTTCCTCCTCCCTTTCTTCCTCCTCGTCCTCCTCCTCCTCCTGGGCTGCATAGCCAAACTGGTTGTGGCGCCGGTTGTATCATACTATCGGCGAGGAGTTTGTCGTAGTAGGGCAGGAGCCACGAGCGCTCTTGCCGACCAGCCCACACGTCCCTCAGGGCACATGGCCATGTTGTTTGCTCGGTTGCCTGCTTCTTCCCGTCCTTCTCCTTCTCCCGCCCTCTCTGGATTGACGGGCGACGTCCACATGGGGGAAGGGGAGGGCGCACCGGTCCGAGAAGTCTAAGCGGACCTCCGAGAGTTTGCGTTCATGCAGTTGTTGCTCTCGCATTCTATCGGCGGCGAGCCTGGGGGGAAGCGGAAAGGTGCGGGCCTTCTCAGAAGGCTCGGACGTCCCGCCAGCGATCTGAGAAGTGTTCTAAGCCTTCACCGAAGACACAGACAATTTCTCGTAAGGCTGGAGCGCTTCTGAGAAGCCCCGGCGTTTTCTGAGAAGGCCTTCTCCTCCTCCTCCTCCTCCTCCTCCTCCTCCTCCTCCTCCTTCTCCTCCTTCTCCTTCTCCGCCGCCTCCTCCTTCTCCATCTCCTCCTCCTCCTCCTCCTCCTCCTTCTCCTCCTCCTCCTCCTCCGCCTCCTCTCCTCCACCTCCTCCTCCTCCTCCGCCTCCTCTCCTCCTCCTCCTCCTCCTCCGCCTCCTCCTCCTCCTCCTCCCCTCCTCCTCCTCCTCCTCCTCCTCCTCCTCCTCCTCCTCCTCCTCCTCCTCCTGTAGGGGGAGTGGGGGGGAGAGGAGCCCAGACGGCGCATTGGCCTTCCGTGCGCTTACCCCACATGTGGGGCGAGGCCCAGCCACCGTCCTGGCGCTGCCTGCACTAGGGGTGGTCGCTTTATGACTGGATGTTTCGTGTTTGTTTCGGTGGCTGCTCCCAGCATTCGGCGCTTAGCACACCCACCCACCCCCCTCGCAGCAAGGCCTGTTGGGAGTGGTTGGAGTTCTGGAGTCGCGACGTCCTTCGCATCTCCTCGACCCTCTCTTGCTTCCCAACGCGTTGCAGGTAGGGTCTACAACAGCGGTGACGTCGCCTCCGTCGCCTGCTGTTCACAAGCCAAACTGAGTTTGAAAAAAAAACTCCTCCTCCTCCTCCTCCTCCTCCTCCTCCTCCTCCTCCTCCTCCTCCCCCTCCTCCTCCTCCTGCTCCTCCTCCTCCTCCTCCTCTTCCTCCTCCTCCCCCTCCTCCTGTAGGGGGGGGGAGGAAGGAGCCCAGACGGCGCAGTGGAGGGTGGGAAGGGGCAGCCCCGAGGAGAGTCCAGGCCAGGGCAGCGGTAGGAGGAGGGAGGATAGCGGCCCCTGCCTGGAGGCTGCCGGAGGGATACGTTGGTCGAAAGAGAAAAGTACAAATATCAATGTGTGGCGCTCCGCGTGGATTTTTGTTGACCCGCGCTGGGTCCCCCTGGCCTCGCCTCTGGCGCCGCTCCTGGGCCGCGCGGACCTCCAAAAGTTGATGTCCATGCCGGTCGCTGCTTCTCTCTATCTTTCGGATCTGAAAAAGAAGCGCAGTACCAAAAAATCCTCGCCGCGCCCGCAGGAGTACTCCACTGCCGCCCCCGGCCGCTTCGGCATCCGGCAGTTCGCGGAGCAGGCCAGTCCGGGGTTCGCCCGTGGCTTGCCGGAGGAGATGAGCCGGGCGTTGCAGGAGCGCCGCGGGGGGAGGAGGAGGAGGAGGAGGAGGAGGAGGAGGAGAAGGAGGAGGAGGAGGAGGAGGAGGAGGAGGAGGAGGACGAGGACGACGAGGACGACGAGGACGAGGACGAGGAAGAGGACGAGAGGAAGAGGACGAGAGGAAGAGGACGAGGACGAGGACGAGGACGTCGTCCTTTTCTTTCTTCTCCTCATCCTCCTCCTCCCCCTCCCCCTCCTGCTCCTCCTCCTCCTCCTCCTCCCGCCTCCCCCCCCGCAGCCGCCCCCTCAGCCGCGCCCTGCTCCGCCTCCCCCTCGTTCTCCTCGCCAGATTGGCCAATCGTTCGTTCGTTCGTTCGTTCGTTCGCAAGCCATGTCGCACGACACATCGGTTCCGCTGGGGAAGATGCTTGCCGCGCAGGAGGAGCGGCCATGAGAGAACTCGCCAGAGAAACTTCCGGGGCAATGGAAAGACCGTAAGCGAGGCCGATCAGTTGTCCAGAACCCGTTTTTGCACCATGCATGACGGGATTGTTGAGAGCGAGTCTGGTCACCAGGACAAAGCCCCACCAGGAGGAGTAGGGGCAGCAGGGAGGTTCGTTCCCCCCATTCCTCCCTAGAGAAGGGATTATAGGAGAGAGGGCTACGGGCAAGCTAGGTGCGCTCGCGTCCTATATTTCGCCATCTCCCTCCCTCCCATCCCTTGCCATTGCGCAGACCCCTTCTCTATTCGCACAGTCGGATGTCGAAGAGCACAACGATCCCAAAGGGCATTTGGTGCATAGCGTGGCATATAATTGTGTAGTCTGGCATTGCATGTCATATCACCGCAGCGCAAGACACCACCTTTTCATAGCAGTACATAGCATAGCACAGAGCATTGCATGGCATGCCATTATATGGCATGGCATTGCGTAGCCCAGCGTTGCAAATCACAGCATTGCAGAGCAAGGCATCGAATCGCAGAGCGTGCACATAACATATCATTGACCTGCAGACAACGGTTGCATGCATGTTGCAGCCGAACAAAACAGGTTGGATAATCGACAATTGTGCACGCTCTGCGTATCCCCACCAGCGCTGGTCGCCACCGGGTTTGGGAGTATCGGTCCTGGCTCTCCTTCTGAGTGGCTGCCCGCCCGCTCGCTCGCTTCGCTTGCCTTTCTTTTCCTGCTGCCTAGTCGCGGCCCGACTAGCGTTCGGACGGTTTTCGACCCGCTTCGCGAGCCTGTTGACCAACAAATCCCCTCCAGCCGTCGCCGGGTGCTTGCACGCTGCCGGACTTGTCACGGTCCTCCCCCTGGACACGGTCACGGGCTTCAATTACTTCGCCATGTTGGCACGCATCGAGGCCAGCACCTTGGTTTTCGTCGGCTTCGGCGTGTCCTACCTGTTCGTCAGCGTCGGCTTCGCCCTCTGAGCCGCAGCGTAGTTCGCTCCTGCGCGCTGAGTGCCTAATTGAGTCCGGTGCTCGCTAGCTGCGCTTTGACTTGACGCCGAGCGATTTGTCGCTACGGCCGCGATCAACAAGGACCCCCACAACCCCATTCGGAAACCTTGCCCGTGAGAGTTGACGGAAAAAGTGACGAAAAGGCACATGGAGCGGAACAGAGTGGGCAACCAGAGTGAACAGAGAGATCTTTGGGAGCATCTTTGGGAGCAAGGAATTGGCTTTGAAGGGTCTCTTCGAGCCATCCCTTGGGCCCGCGTGGGAGAGGAGGAGGAGGAGGAGGAGGAGGAGGAAGAGGAGGAGGAGGAGGAGGAGGAAGCGGAAGACGACCGCGACTACGACATCGAGGAAAAGGAGGAAAACGACAAGGAAAAGGAAAAAACAACGAGGGCACGGAGGAGGAGGATGAGGAGAAAGACAACGAGGACGAGGACAGAGCCCTCAAAATCGTTTCTTGGAACCCTCTTTGGGCCCCCTTGGGAACCCTGGAGGACCTCGTGGGGCCATCTTGGCGGCAATCGATCAAGGGGGGGATCGGTACTTCCCCCCCCTGCCCTGGGGCCATCAAAATCCCTTCTCGGGGCGCTCTTGGGCCGCACCTTGGCGCTCTGAGGGCCGTTTGGGGTGCCTCTTGGGCCTCTCCTGGGCATCTTGTGGGGGGTCACCCTGGAGCGTCAAAAGCGCATCGGAAGCGAAAAGTCGAGGATGTCGGCCCCGGGGTCTGAAAGGGGGTTCCGGGAGCACGTGGAACCGTCGTGTTGTTTTCGATTGGCCTCTTGGAGGTATGTCGTAAGTTATCTTGAACCTTCGTCGGCTATATTGAGCCATCGTGGAGGCCATTTTGGAACATCGGAGGCCAATTTGGAGCGAGTTAGAGCCATTTTTGGCGCCCTAACGCCACGCGCCCCCGCTCCCCCAAAAAACTTTACGGAGGGGGGGGGGGAAGGAAAACTTCCCGGAAGGGATGAGGTTTTTGGAAGAGGGAAAGAAGAATTCGCTAGATCACCTTAGTCCACAGGATTGGTGGGATTTGGAAATGGGGCCAATGCTGCGGCGGGAGCACCATTCGGAAGGACCGGGGACGCAGAAATGAGGCCAGCGCTGCAGCGGAAACACCATGGCGGAGAACCGAAAACGTTGAAATGAGACCAGCGTTGCAGCGGGAGCACCATTCGGAAAGACCGACAACGCGGAAATGAGACCAGCGTTCAGAGGAGCACGGTTCTGAATGACCAGAAGCGCGGAAATGAGGCAAGCGTTGCAGCGTGAATATCAATTTGAAGGACCATCGACAACCGCATGGGGAAACACAGGAAGACTGAATGTTGACTTCGTGTGTAGAAACTATACGCGGAGTAGGCGGGACATTTTCCAGACAGGGTCAGTGGAGAGAGGAGAGTATTATTCATAATGTGTCGTTGTTCAGGGGAGGCGACGGGGATGGGATATACGAGAGGGAGATGTACTGGAGGAGAGGGTAGAGGGAGAAGATGAAGAAGAGGAGAGATAGAGGAGCGTGTGGGGGGGCGAGGGGAGAATGTGGAGAGGGAAGGGAACGAGGGGCGCCCTCCTCCATCTCCCCCTTCCCCGCCCCGCCACCCCCAAGGGGGTTTCCATCCCCTGCCGCGCTGAAAAGCATGGGGGCGACCTCTCGGCAAAGGCAGGGAGGGAAGGCGGAACGACGTGGTGTGCCCCCGCCTCCTCCGCCCCCTCGTCCTCGAGGACCTCATCGGCGCCGGCAGGAAGAAGGAGTGGGACGTGGTGGTGTGCCACGCCACGCCAGACGTGTGGCACGCCGATGGCGCTCCCCCTCCTCTTTCCTCTTCCTTCTGTCCCTCGTGATCCTCATCATTCTCCATGCCGTACACTATTGCTTCCTAGAGACAAAAAACTCATTGCCGTACACTCGTCGCCGTCGTTGTGACCACAATGTGTTGCGGGGCGGGGGTCGTGCACTGCATAGCGGGCCTGCTCGCCTGGTGTTGCTCTCCTCCAGCTCCTCCTCCTCGTGTTCGTCCCTTCCTGTCTCCTGTGCCGACGTGATGGCGCGCCTGTGGAGTGAGAGGAGGAGGAGGAGGAGGAGGAGGAGGAGGAGGAGGAGGACAGGAAGGAGGAGGGGGAGGAGCAGCAGCAGCAGCAGGAGAGACAGCAGGAGGAGGAGGAGGAGGAGGAAGACCATAGCAAGCCCAAGATGTATCAGCAGTGCTGCTAAACACTCTACCGTCCCAAGTCCCTCCTTCACAAGGGCATACAAGCATTATTTTCACTATGCGAAAAGACCCTATGCGAAAAGACCCCCTTGCAAGACGAGCGTACCATGGGCCTGGCGGGAGCTCAACGTTAAAATGAATTGCATTCCATCCCTCGAGCGCAAGCGAATACAACAACGCAGGATCAAACAGTCCAAGAAAGTGCCAAGAGGCAGCCCCGCTTTAAGGAGGAGCCGCTGAACACCTCTAGACTTCTGGCCGTTGATTTAACGGGGTTGCATACGGGATCCCCATACTGAAACAGAACTGCCTCCCACTCATGTAACCGATCCGCCCTCCACCCGCTCACGCCGCGCGTCTGCTTCAAAATGCCAGAGAGTATCAGGCGAAACTCCCGGACTGCCCTGACGACACGTCTGGTGGTGCGACAGGGAGGAGTTATTTAGAAGGAGGATGGAGGAAGGCGAGGAGGGGAGGAGGAAGAGGCGGAGGAGGAGGAGGAGGAGGAGAGTTGAGGAGGAGGGATGAGGAGGAGGAGGAGGAGGAGGAGGAGGAGGAGGAGGAGGAGGAGGAGGGAAGGAGGCTCCCTCCTCTGCACGTCCTCTTCGCCTCCCTCCTCTCTCGGTGCCTTCGGCTGGGGCAGCGTGCAGCCGTGCCCGCCGAAGGTCAGAGCAGCCAAAACCACAGTCGAGCCAGGTTCGCACCCACCCACTCTGGGGAAGGAGTCGAGTAGGGGATAGTTTACAGAATTGATCTACCTCAAGCTAGATTATTCCGTCGACTACGAACACATACGTAGAAGGCCCCGCAGATCTACGGCGCATGTTACATACGCTTCGCAGATTCGGCTGAAAAAGCAAGTTTGGTGCAGATGAGTTCTGCAG